ATATATAACATTTTATGAAACGGATCTGGCTACTTACCAGGGAAGGATCCCAGGTCGAAGTGGCCATTTGTAACGAGACATACACCACTAGATGTGTTTTTGGACGCTGATCTTGAATCTGCTCTCCAAATCTGCGGAACGATTCTCTGAACGTAGTTATGAAGCGAGATAGTGCAGTGGCAGCGGCCCGGGCCTAACGGGAAAGACGTCGTGGGATTTCCTGAGGACATTGTTAAGGAAATCCTCATCTATGCTAAGTCATCAGCACTCGCCTTTATTACTAGTGCGAGGAGATAGCGAGGAGTTTCGATCAAGTGTGCGTGCCATGTGCAAATGACCAACGGTGACTGCCCACATTTGCAAAGTTAGGTACAAATTTCAGATTTGGACCAAAAGTTGTGGAAAGGGGCATTTTGACGCGCTGAATACGAATATCACCTCTGTTTGGCACGAATGCGCCTGACGCGTGCGCTACGAGTACAAGGGGCGATCTTTTGCGAATGGCGCGCACAGTGTTAGATGCTCCTCGCTAGCTATTCCCACTTGTAATATAGGCAATCGCTAATAATTTATATGGATAAAAGCATCTTTAGCAATGTCTCAAGGAAAGCAAATGTGAGATATCGCCAAGAATTCGATCCCACGACCTCTTTTCCGTCGGCCTGGGCCGCTGCCACTGCACTATCTCGCTTCATAACTACGTTCAGGGAATCGTTCCGCAGATTTGGAGAGCAGATTCGAGATCAGCGTCCAAAACACTCTAGTGGTGTATGTCCCCCCCCCCCCCCCCCCCCCCCCCCCCCCCCCCCCCCCCCCCCCCCCCCCCCCCCCCCCCCCCCCCCCCCCCCCCCCCCCCCCCCCCCCCCCCCCCCCCCCCCCCCCCCCCCCCCCCCCCCCACCACAAAAGCCACCCGACCTGGGAGCGCTTCGCTAGTGGATATATGTTTGACCTTACAGACGTAGCCAGCTGTCGTCTGAGTTATGCTGTGATATTATCCATAGGCTGATCAAAAAGAGTTTCGAAAGAAGTTTCGTAAGCGCGAGGAAAAGAGACGTTTTGGGTGGCACGCGCAACCGCGCCACAATATTTAGGCGACGTCGGTGTGTTCAGAGTGTGACGGACCACGACTGGCGGCCACGCGTCTTTAGTGTTTGAGACACATCAGAGCCATGACCTCTTTCTTTACCTCTTCTCTGCTTGCGTTTCCTGACTTACTTCAACAAGAACCATTGCCCACGCACCCAATCTTATTTTTCATTGAATGCCTCTCTAGTATGCCAAGGAATATTTACTGGTTGATTTTCTTTTCCAGTATGGAAATCACTTCTTTTCAAAAATCGTGTCCTGTTGTTTGAATAGATCTGTATTTTGCAAACAGTATTCTTTAGGGTACACACCAGCTCGTATTACTCATTCATCCGACAACTTCCAGCAGCTGTACGAGGTAAGACAACAAATCTAGCATTCTTGCACTTGATCTTACGAATATAATCTTCTCTCATTCTAGCTATTTTAGTGGGCTGTGGAGTTAATCAGAAGAGGTCACGCATATGTCTGTCATCAACGAGTTGAAGATATGCGTGGGTTCGATGTGCAGCTCTCCCCTTGGCGTTCAAGGCCAATTGAGGAATCATTGCGGCTGTTTGAGGTAAGCATATGTAGAAAAATGCATTGTATTAGATACCGAAAAACATACGGGGGAGGCAAAAAAGACATTTTGCCCATGTCGAACTTCACTTCAGCGGTTTCTTCGTCGCCTGTTTTGATTTCTAGTAACGAACAAAAGCTCCGCAAATGAGGCTAGCGGTCAGGGTCAAGCGTGCGTTGAGGAATCCTCGACACGTCACAGGGGGGGGGGTCGTATTGGCCCGCTGGGAGGAAGAGATCGGGCCGGATTGATGCAGTAGGATCATCACCGTCGGAGGACAAACATCAAGGATCGAGTCGATGCCAGGCCAGAGGATTTCCAATAACAATGATATTCCGCCACACAAAATTTCGTGATTCTGAGGTGTCCGCTTAGCAATTCTTAGTTACTTCAGTGTTTTATCACCACACAAGTTAAAGAATCCGAAATTCGCACGTTTTCCAAGGGATATTTTATCTTTCAAGTGAGTCCTCGAATCTGAAGGGATGTGAAGTACACGGCGCATCCCAGAGTGGGTCCAGTTGTTGCGCGCGCTTCAACTACGGCTCCTTGGACAAAGAATCTCAATTCAGGAAAAATCAAGAGGATTCTGAAAGTGTCCGTGCGCAATTACAGGGAGGAGTACACCATTCAACAAGAAACGCACTCTTCAGCGTCAAATTCATAAACATGTAACCTTTAAAGTTGAGAAACGCTAATCAATTTTACACTTTTCAGAAAGAGAAAAGCACAGTGATTCCAAATCTGCTCTTACTTTAGTACATAATCGCCCTTAAAAGGATATATAGCCGTTGAAATAGTGCCAATGTAGCGAAAAAGTACCTTTCGGCGGTACTCGGGCAAAAATCCTCAACGTGGCCATTTTTTAAATACTGGACGTTTTAGCAGTTCTAGTAAGCGTTGATAGAGCAAATCTTCTAGTTTATGATGACGTATTAACTTTTCAGATTGGATGAGTTTGAACGGAGTTATGGCTTTGGAAAGTAAAAAACTCATCACGAATTTTCCTCGTTAATTTTGCAAAAATCCTCAACGTGGCCATTTTTTGAATACTGGACGTATGAAGCTGCGTTTGATAGAGAAAATCTTCTAGTTTTGTATGACATATCAACTTTTGAATTTGACGAAAATGAAGCAAGTTATGCTTCGGAAAGTGTAAAAACTCGTGCTCATCTCGAATTTTCCTCGTTAATTGATCTAAATTTGTTATTTCTTATAACTTTTTGTAATTTCAATACTGATTAGAAAGAGCTCTTCACAAAACTCCAAATCTGCTTTCAGATTGAAAATTCGTCATATTTGAAGAAAGTTATAATCATTTGAATATTTGTTCAAATTTCAATAGTAAATAAGCTGCTCCACGGTCAACGCCAAAGATCAGTCAACACACAGCTGGCTAAGGCGGTTACAAGGCTTCTTTCAACTGAAAGGGGGACGTGTAAATTGAGAACCATATCTGTGTAGTACTAGAATTTGGTAAGTCTTGTGGAAGGAAATAAATAAAGAAGAGATGTTGTCATAGTATGCCATTTTTAGTGCTGCTCCGTTTTTCGTTTGCTCGTTTGGTAGGACTCATCATAATGATCATTCTTTGACTTTTTCACTTTTGTACTTCTTAAACGAATTTTTTTGTGGACGGTGGGGTAGCAGGGCTTTTTTATGAGCAGTTTTGGGGGAGAATTAAACAACCTTTTCATGGTGGGTTTTTGAAGAGGGGTTTTTTTGAGGAGGGAGGGGTTGAAGGGTTGTTTCATGGACTTCGGCCTGTGGGGGAAAGGTGGGGGGATTACCCCCACGACGGTTGGCTTGACCCTGCTAGCGATATTGGCAAGCAAAGTGCGTGCCAGTTCCCATAGCTTCTCAAACAGTATTCGTTTTCATGATCTCTGTTTTTTGTTTCTTATTTTGGCTCATAACCTTAACAGTTCAGCACCCGGCCCTGACCTTGTAGAAGATGGCCCAGTTGCTTTTGAGCAGCGGTTTGTTTCATATTTTCTGTGCAGCCAAAGCATGTGTTTTTGCCAGTGTTTCGCGCCAAGCGCTAGTCTCATGGAAATTTATTGAAACGTGTGCAGTCATGCACTGAATATACAGAGCGGGCAAAAATTACGACGGCAAGATGGTGATCTTGGAAGAGCGATTGGACGAGGAAGACACAAGCTTGGGTTCCTACTCTTTTGACAGTGACATGAATTCCCAAAAGTTATGCTGCACCAAAGTTGCGCAGTATTTGCTTTGTGTTCACGCGGTAAGTCTTGTTGGACCGCTCAGAGGTTTCTCTCAAAAATCTGTTTAGCCAGATCAACATTTATTAATTTTCAAAGAGCCCGAAATGTTTTGACCCGCTTTTGTTGTTGTAATTTTTGCCCACCCTGTATATGGGCTAGCGACGATAGAATCGATGTGCAGCGTTCGTGCGGCTGCCAAATGTAAGATCCACTCGGGCATCCAATATAAAGAATTAACTTTGATATCCCATATTTCATTTGAAAGCTAAGAGATTTGAGTCTTCATGGGAAGTAAAGTTGTTGAGCTGACCAACCATACATCATGCATGCATCAAACGCGTAATGACTTATAGGACATGAAGCGAGGGAAGTTTGATGAAGGCGAGGCAACTTTGCGTTTGAAACTCACTCTTGAGGAAGGAAAGGTTGATCCAGTGGCATACCGGATCAAATATGTGCCACATCACAGGACGGGAACTCAATGGTAAGGTGATGATACTGGTCCATTTTTTGTTTTCCTTTTACGAAATACAGTAGCGGTCAAAAGTCTTCGCCGAAATTGTTTTTCGACTGTAACTTTTTTCCGCTGAATCAAATCAATTCAAATTTTAATATGTTTTAGAGATAGTCCTACTTCACTTAAACGGCATATTTGTTTCGGATTGAGAAAGAATTAAGAATGGAAAAAATCATTTCACTAGAAATTCTCGCGTATGAGCAAATTCCAAGTAAGTTTCAAATTACTCGTAGCAAGCTTACAATTCAACAAAACAATCTTACGCATGATGAATAACACTGAGCAGGTCCAATACTTTGTTAAATCTTCTGGAAGTCGCTGAAATACTAACAAGGCCTAAGTAAGGAATCAGTCATTGAATGCACTGTCTACTAGGGCAGCTTCCTCCACTTCTCTTGAAATTTGACGAGTTTCTCGCCCATATTTCCGGCTCTTATTTAACCAAAGGTATCCCTTGGTAAAGTCACCAAGGGACGTCTGTCTCCGGAAACTCTCGAACTGATACGCCAGCGTGGAGCCGCACGAGCTGCAGGCAATCACCGACTCACGTCCGAGCTTGCGAAGCTATGCAGAGAGGCGATAAAGGAAGATCTCAAGGAGCGAAGAGCAGCAGTATTAGCTGAAGCAGCAGAGGCTGGGAGGAGCATCCGCAATGCCCGCCGAAGCTTTGCCAGCTACAAGACCAAGATGACCTGCCTCCGACGTCCGGATGGAACAGTACTGCATCCCGAAGGGCAATGGAGAAAGTCATCCACGACTTCTACTCGGATCTCTTCGATAGCCATGTCCATCTGCCCACTTATCAACTGCAACAGGATGGATACGTCGTCCCCTCAGTTCTCTCTTCCGAAGTCCGACACGCCATCAAGTCGGTGAAGAATCGTACAGCACCCGGTCTCGACAGGGTCAAACCGGAACATCTGAAGAATGCGCCGCCAGTTATCATCAAAACTCTGGCTCGACTCTTCACGCGCTACCTGTCGGAATGCAAGGTACCCACTCCGTGGAAAACCAGCAGGACCGTGTTGCTGTACAAGAAGGGAGACCTGGACGACATTGGCAACTATCGCCCAATCTGCCTGCTGTCTGTAATCTACAAGCTATTCACTCGAGTCATCCTTAACAGGATCGGCAGAATACTAGATGAAGGACAGCCATGCGAGCAAGCAGGGTTTCGAAGAGGGTTCAGCACGATCGACCATATCCACACGGTTACAAGACTCATTGAAGTTTCACGAGAGTACAAGATGCCGCTTTGTCTCACGTTCATCGACTTGAAGAAGGCCTTCGACTCTGTGGAGACAGAAGCGGTCATCGAAGCCTTGGGCAACCAGGGCGTCCCTACTCAGTACATCAAGATTCTTCGTGAGCTCTACAGCAACTTTACGACCAGAATCTCACCATTCTACAAGGAGGTCATCATCGACGTCAAGAGAGGGGTTCGACAGGGCGACACCATCTCGCCCAAACTCTTCAGCGCCGCTCTCGAGAACGTCATGCGTCAACTGGAATGGGAAGACATGGGAGTGAAGGTCGACGGCCGGCAACTACACCACCTTCGTTTTGCTGACGACATCGTTCTTATAACGCCGAACATCGAGCAAGCGGAGCGAATGCTGGCTGATTTCGACTGCGCCTGTGGTAAGGTTGGTCTACAGCTGAACCTAACGAAGACGATGTTTATGAGAAACGGATTGGTTCCTGATGCCCCATTCACGCTCAACGGAACGAACATCACCGAATGCTCCAGCTACGTGTACCTAGGTCGGGAAATCAATATGATGAACGATCTAGCTCCAGAGCTGAGCAGGAGGAAACGAGCGGCTTGGGGAGCGTACAAGAACATCGAGGGAGTAGTGAAGAAGACGAAGAACATCCGGCTCCGTGCCCACCTCTTCGATTCCGCTGTCCTTCCTGCCCTAACCTACGCCTCAGAGACTTGGACTCTGCGCAGGCAGGACGAGCATGCGGTCAGCGTTATCCAACGCGCTGTCGAGAGGACGATGCTAGGAGTAACCCTATACACGCAAGTGCAGAGGGGAATCCGGAGTGCCGAACTACGCCAACGATCGAAGATCAGGGACGCTGCCGTTTTCGCCAAGGAATCGAAGATAAGGTGGGCCGGACACGTCATGCGATTTTGCGATGACCGTTGGACCAGAGCGGTTACCGACTGGATCCCTCGGGACGTCAAACGAACACCTGGACGACCGCCGGCCCGATGGTCAGACTTCTTCACGAAAGCTCTGAACGAAAGGAATGAAGGACATCGTGTCCCTCGAGCGAGGAGGGTCCACTGGACAACTCTTGCACGCGACAGGGACGAATGGAGACGTTGCTGGCGCCCGCTCGAGCAATTCGATGATCAACGGGACGACAGGTGATACAGGTGATACTATCTTTGCCCATAATGTTTACGGATGCCGCTCCAGGACATCGGTGTGAATTGTTCCTTTCGTTGAAAGCGCGCCATGCTGGCGAAGCCACTCTTCACAGTGAAGGTGTGATGCTTTTGGTCGCACTAATGCTAGAAGGCGAGCTCAGTCGCGGGCAGCTGTCATACATGTGGATAAGAAGCTCCTTCTAGAACCCAACTGTATAGGCTGCCTTCACATGATTGCGAATACTGCGAAGTTAGTCGGCGGTGAACTGGTCGGGGGCGAAATGGGCTTACGCACACCTAAAGTGGGGATCCCCATAGGGCTACAACGTCCTGCGGACCAACGAGAGTAAATTCAAGATGTTTGCCGGCGACTGAAATAGGAATGTGTGCGGTCCTGAGGGAAAACGTTTCGATCCAAGGAATTAACTGCCGTATGTAAAACTTGGCGGAGGCTCGCGTGTGGTAGTCCGTAAAAAGAAAGTTTTACAACAACTGCACAGCAGATTAGAGAAAGTGGTGAATGCCGACGTATCAGATAGATTCTAGAAGGAGTTCGTATCCACTCGTATGAACACTGTACGTGACTGAGCTCGCCTTCTAGCATTAGTGCGACCAAAAGCATCGCACCTTCACTGTGAAGGAGTGGCTTCGACAGCATGGCGCGCTTTCAACGAAGGGAACAATTCACACCAATGTCCCGAGCGCCATCGAAACATTATGGGAAAGAGTAGGGATACCTTTGGTGGAAATAAGAGCCGGGAATATGGGCGAGAAACTCGTCAAATTTCAAGAGAAGTGGAGGAAGCTGCCCTAGTAGACAGTGCATTCAATGACTGATTCCTTACTTAGGCCTTGTTAGTATTTCAGCGAACCCAGAAGATCATTAACAAAGTATTGGACCTGCCCAGTGTTATTCATCATGCGTAAGATTGTTTTGTTGAATTGTAAGCTTGCTAGAGTAATTTGAAACCTACTTGGAATTTGCTCATACGCGAGAATTTCTAGTGAAATGATTTTTTCCATTCTTAATTCTTTCTCAATCCGAAACAAATATGCCGTTTAAGTGAAGTAGGACTATCTCTAAAACATATTAAAATTTGAATTGATTTGATTCAGCGGAAAAAAGTTACAGTCGAAAAACAATTTCGGCGAAGACTTTTGACCGCTACTGTATCTCAACGTGGCAAATGATGAGATCATTTTTATTCTCTAGGTGTATTTATCCGACATACGACTACACGCACTGCCTTTGCGATTCAATAGAGAACATTACACATTCCTTGTGCACAAAGGAATTCCAGTCAAGGTACTTACATGATATTTAATAGTATGTTCCAAACTGATACAGCTTCAGTGATGCTAGGAACCGCTCAAATTCCCGTGTTTTACTTTTTCAACACTACCGAGTTTCAGGCGCAGCTCCTATTACGCTCTTTGTAACATGCTTGACATTTACTGTCCTGTACAGTGGGAATATGGTCGCTTGAACATGAACTACACTGTTGTGTCGAAGCGGAAAATCTTGAAGCTTATCGATGCCGGGATTGTGAAGTGGGTTGCTATGGCTTTTTTCAATAAATGGGTAAATAGATGGATGTTCAAGAATGGGTAAATAGGCCAGGCTAGAAAAGCAACGTGCTGGAGTTGATCAAATCTCGGAGATATGCAGTTTGACATAGCAAGACGGTTCAGCTTGTCTTTAATTTAATGTTGTCATTTCTCCAGGAATGATGGTATAGGTAATGAACAGCAGATTGTGGGGTGGGGTGGGGGGGGGGGGCTCTGTTGTCTTACACGTGAAGTGCGGGCTAGAACGCCTGACCAAGTCTTTCTCTGCAGTGTGAGAGCTCCCAACTGACAAGTGTGGTGCACAAGAAGCGCCTGATCAAAGTTGATTGTTCGAAGTACCTTTATAGAATAGCTTGTGATATTTGATATGTTGTTGCCATATTTTTTAATGTTGAAGGGATTGGGACGATCCGCGACTGTTCACCCTTGCTGCCTTACGTCGTCGTGGAATTCCAGCGGAGGCGATTAATGCATTCGTGGCCAAGTTGGGTTTGACAATGACCCAAATGGTCATCGATCCTCATGTTTTAGACGCCACTGTTCGGGACCACTTGAATGTCAACGCACCAAGGTAAAATAAATTCGTCTGATATTATCGTTTTTTTATGTTTTCTCTTTTTTGTTTCCTTTATATTCATGCAGATGATGCGATAATTTGTACAGAATTCACAGTCAAGTGATTGAATACTGATGAAGGCGGCACGCTTTTTTAATTCACATTTTTCCGGCTCTTCGGTTTTTAGTTATCTAAGAACCTATCATTAGCTATATAGCAATTGCTCCAGTATTTGGAGAATATCGCCTCAGCAGAATACGCCAAAATCGCGTATCTTGCAAGTTAGCTGAAGAGAAGAAAATGAGAAAAATTCTGTCAAAGATAATCCACGAGTCGGAACACTGTTTCCTAATGCTCACTTATGTTATTGAAATTGCCATTATGCACATACAGTAGCGCTCAAAAGTATTCGGCCGAATACTTTTTCGGCCATAGCTTTCTTTCTGCTGAATCGAATCAGTTCAATTTTTTTTTCGCATCATAGGAAACGTTGAGCAGACTTAATACTTACATGATAACCTTTTGGAGTTGCGAAAACCTCAACAAGGTCCAACAATGTGGAATCAATCACTGATTCCACTGCCTATTGGGACAACCTCCTCAAATTTTCCTCAAATTAGACGCGTTTTTCTTTCATATTCCTGACTCTTTCCCTTGCAAAGAGAAGATATGGAAGAAAAACGCCCGTTCGTTTGTAGACGTGCTTTCTCCAACTCTTTTCTCTCTCCTCAGAGCCTGGTGTGTTTTATGTCACTCTCTGCATCTATACTATCCCATGGCGTAGGAAAAGGCCTTATTAAGTGCTGTCGGTGTATTCTCTTTTTCCTTTACAAGCGGTCCACTTCACACCTGTACCATCGTTCTCCAGTAGCATCGACACCAGCGACCATTAGGGGAAGGGACGGGGAAGAATCGTTCTGAGATTTCCGTTAGAGCAGGATTCTACTGCCTTCTCTGAAGAAGGTACTTCTCGCTTTTGAAGGATCTGATGCAGTATGCGCTACCGTAATATTGAGTCTATAGAATGGCCCACTTATCAGTCATCAGCAGCCTGACCGTAGGCAAATTTTCAGGTAGCAGTTATATTCCGTTGACATGTGGGTCGAGCAAGCATTCATCGTCGCGCGAGGCATTGTTAAGCGAACCGTTCAGTAACTGCTGCGCCTGTCCGTTCGATGATGGTGAAGTGTACTAGGAAAGAATATAAAATCAAGCCCTACTCCCGCATGAACATTCGCAAATTACTCCCTCATTCTCCTGGATGAGAGTGAGATGTTTCGTAAATAACCGGACAGCATGCGAGCTCTACGATGCCCACAACTGGAATTAATTTTGTGAATATCAATAGTTTGAAGTATGTGTTCGTTGATGATTTTCTGCAAATGATCCAATGGTTTTCCAAATTCTTTGCCAAAAATCCTAGCGAAAGAATTCTAAATTGAGAGCCGACTTGCACCTCTGCATTATTGCTGTGTGATATTTTGGCAAAATTGTTCGAGAGCAGCTGGTTATGTAGGCTTCTTAAAATACTTAGATCTCTTGCATGTAAACGCATGAAAGAGCTTTTTGAGCCAAAAAGCCTCAGAGTGAGAGCGTAGCTGTTGTGTCTGTGCTCAAAAACAAGGCTCACAAATGTGGGACTAGATTTTTTGCTCTTGTACTAGCTATTTTGTGTGCTAGCGACATAGTGGGTCATCCACATGACAAGCACAAAGAAGCAAAAACATAGACATTCTACGAATACATAGCAAAAAGAGATTCAACATCGTCACCTCTTTGCCTATAGCAATAGATTATATGCAGTCGCTACTCGCTATAGTCATTAGCGCCAATAACACCTGTGACGCGCGTAAGCGTTTTTTTTTTTTCGAGAAAAAAAATTAAGTGCTATGTTTGTACTCGAGGGCACAGCCTTATTTGATCAGCAAAGCCCAGCCAGATCTGATATTTCGGCCTGACTTCGAAAAAGTGAGCAGAATGACTCCGGACATCGATAGGGCAGAATAGTATCGACTTTTCTAGCCACAAGTGAACAGGCAACTCTTACGAGGAAGGTCATTCAGATGGATACAGAACTTCAGTTCATTTTCCTGAGCGGCCCTCTGAATACTAAAAAAGGAATGATGAAATGGTCCGAATCCTCGCAGTGACAATTTTTTGCATTTTGTGTTGGCGTTTCAAAATTCGCGAAAATAGCGTCAGCGGAACAACTGTCATATCTATAATTAGGACCATCAGCAACCTTTATACGTTGACTTTGGCTAGAAATTGGTGAAGAAAGTTAAAAACGGCATCTCTTCGCTCTTTTTTGGTATTTAGAGGGTCGCTCAGGAAAATGAACCACAGTTCTGTGTTCCATGCACGTACCCTATATCATGCAAAAAACCGTTTGAGAAAACCGAACATCTCATGGAAGTCCTCCCTGGGAAGAGACGGAACTCTGAAAAGCTTTATACAAGTCTGCGTGTCAGCTTATGATTCCGTTCTTTCGATTCGCTAATCAGAAATGACTTTTTCAGAACAATGGCTGTTCTCGAAGGAGTGAAGTTAACTATTGAAAACTTCGATGAAATGAATTTGCCATCATCAGTCACAGTTCCCGATTTTCCCTCCGATCCTCAATGCGAGAAAAACCATCAAGTCGCCTTTGATCGTGTGGTATATATTGAGCGAACGGACTACAGACAGGTGTGTTTGGCCCTTTCTGCTAAATTCCGGCCTTCGATTAGATGTCGCAATTGCAAGACGTAAAGTTTGCGCAGAGAAGAAGAGTCCCTGCGTTTGAATTGGGAACAGTTTCGTAAGAAATAAGTAAGCTAGTCAATAGGTAAATCCATTAGCGACGGATTGAAGTCCCTATCATACTTTGTGCCGGCGCGGACGCTGCGGATAGTGCGGCCATTGCGAAGAACGTGAGTACACCAACTGGCGCATGATATCTGCGTGAAGTCAGTGCCTGTCAATCGATTAACATCATTTTCAATACATTTTTTAATCTTTTTTTTTGTTCTTCGCGTCATGTTGCCTTCGTTGGTGCTTTTCATAGCGCAAGACTACGTAATTTTCCAAACAATTATATTTTTGCGCACCAATGCTCGCCTTGAGCTTACAGCCATTTTCACGCGAATTTACACGACACTAACCGTTTAGGGTTACACAGCATTAATGATTAATGTGGAAAAGTTTTTCTTCACAAAACACGACTTAAAGCAACACGACACGTAAAACACCAAAAAATATACAAAATGTGTTGAAGTTTGAATTTATCGATTGAAAGGCACCGACTGAGCGCTAAGTACGCATCATGACCCGGTGCGTGTGTTGACGCTCTTCGAACAATCCGCCTGACTGTACCTTCGCATTTACTTAACGACGTCCGCAACGACGCAAAGTATGAAAGGGGCCCAACACAACAGCACTGGAAGATGAGGCAGGAAAGAAAAGAAAAGAAAGCTAGAAAAGTCGATAAGAGCGTAACCAAGGCTTTCCAATCAAGCAGGCCTTTTCTGCTTCGCGCCTGTCTCGCCAAGCAAGGCAGGCGGAGAGAAAAAGAACTTTGACAAGAGAACAGTTTTGTCAAGAAAATCAGCTCGATGCGATACGCCGATCAGTAGATGTAACCACTGTTATTTTATTTTTCATTTTTTATTTTATTTACAACGACACCGTATCATTTGGGAGAAATGTACGAAAAATGCGCTTTCACGGAAACGCGAATAGCGCAATATTGAAAAAGCACCAAAAATAATAAGAGGGAGCGCTTAAAGTAAAAACATATACATGGAATTGGAATATCTGTTTGGAATACTTTGCTAGTTTCCATACTTTCTACTCAGTAATAAAAGGTTTTGCAATTTTGCTTGCGCAGTTACCGAGCAATTCATTTCCTTTAATAAAATAAAAATTGCAACTGCCCTTTCGAATTTCTTAATATTTTTTGAAAAGTTCCAGTTGTGAGCTCGATCCCGAAATTCATACAGATCACTTCTTATAATGTACCCCATGTCTAGCGCAAAAAAAAAACTTTTGCTATATTCAGTCCCTGTCTAATCGCTTTGTGTTCCACTGTAGTGACCTATTTATTGTCGTGGTCTGGGACAGTAACTCCATGTAAATGTTTTTATTTTTAGTGCTCACACTTATTATTGTTAGTGCTTTTCAATATTGAAGTTTTCCCATTTCCGCAAAAGCGCATATTTTGGTGTACTTCTCCCAAATGGGATTTTGTTATTGTACCTCATTCACTGTACGCATCTGGTGGAGGATTAAGCTGTGGCGATCCTAATATTCATCGTGCTCACGAAATACAATAGCAGACCGCTTTGTCGGCGTTTGTTGTGCAGGTCATGGCATATTTGTTCTCATTGTGTGAGGTCAGTGATACGCCGGCATCGGATGCGTGGATCAGCGGAAAGTAGCCGACAACAGCAGCGGTTTGTATGAGAGATAGCCCGCGTGTACTGTGTAGTGCCAAGGTCAGGTAGTAGTTTGAGCTATGGATTATAGTCGCAGTGACGGTGTGCAACTGGAGATATGCTAGCAATATTTGGATTTCCACAGTGTTTATGTTTAGTGCCGACCGGCTCAGTTGATGGGTGTGGGGTGCATTAGAGATCAAATTTTCGAACGCTTTTGAGTTGCGTGGTTTCATTTATGTTAGTTGAGCTGCAAAACTTTTCTAATTTCTCATTTTGTTGGCAATTTTTCGCCAGACGCAAATTTTGATATTCTATACCGCAAACCGCCTGGATTTATATCACTACTTCTGGTAAAAAGTCCTGCGCTGAGGTCTCACAGGTACAGGAAAATAGCAAAGCTGGACACCAAAACTGTGTTGGAACTATTGAATTTGAAAAGTTTGAAGAACTCTCCAAAATAACCGCAAAAAATGCGAAAGTTGCAAAAATCAACAAATAATAAGTTTATAAGATACTCCTATATATGGTTCTATATATGAGCGGAAGTAGTATAATGGCGGTGCCACTGCTACCACGCGCACAACCGGAGGATCAGATCCTGGGTCACGCGCTCGGGCCAACCAAGCCTCCTAAGTTTCGAGATCGGTAGGTAGGTTATATCTCAGACACTTGGCTAGGATATATGCTGACTTGTACATTGGCTGGCCTTCCGCAAGTCATTGTATTCCCACATCGCATTCAAACTGCCACTACGAATTGTGAATGGAAGTAGAATGCGTGGCGCATCCCTGAAACAAGATTGATCAACATCAAGTGTTTTATCCTTTATACTTATTTGTTCAATATTTCCCAGTACGTAGTATCCCTGATCTGTATATTACTGAGTCCTGAAAGGAATTAGTTTAGAGTTGGGTAGGGAATGCCGTGGAGTCTAGAAGAAGGTGAAAACAAAAAAGTAACACCACGCTGGAACCCCATAGACAAGTTTTTGAGGATAAATGCTTTGGCAAATCAATAGCAAGATTGGATTGCTATTATTAAGAAAAGGGAAACCCGATGTTGGTTCTGAAATGAAATTCGGCTGAAAACCATTTTTGAGCAACAAGCAGTGGGTAAGAAAGGTGCGTCATTTTCGCAAAAATGAAAATGGACTTATCTCCTTTTGTATCCAGCGACCGGGGAGTCTACACTAAAAAATCTACTACACAAATGACGACGACCACCAAAAAAAAATCTGATAATCAGCGTTTACAAAGATGGCTGATAATTGATACATGATAGTGTAACTAGTGACAATTGATAGAATCCAACCGCAACCGGCTAATCATAGAACATTTTGTGGAAGCTGTCGTCACTTATGAAGTCTGCAATGGGCAACATACTCAGAAGGCGATTATCTTAAACCAAATCAAAAACCGATCGTTGAATACAATCCAAAACTACCAATATTTGGAAAGCCAGCTCTTTTTTCTTCTAGCTGCTGAAGATCAGCTATACACACCATCGCCGTTCTACGAGCCTGTCACTTTCCCACCCGGTTTCCTCAAAATTTGAGATCTCATCGCGCTAACGTAAGTTCACCTTCGCGAGGGCTAGTTGTCCTCAAAATATACTGTTTTTGTTTAAAGGAACCCTACCCCAGGATGATATTGCTGCTCTTTTGGTGTGTAAGCTTTCTCATAAGTGATCGAGAAACCAAAATCCATACGACAATTCGAAGTTGTAGGCGTTCAACTTTCTCTCGAATAATGTGGGAGCCTGTACCGTATCAACCCACAGGTTTGTTAGAATCAAATTTCCATAATGAAATTCCCAACATCGCGTTGTTCTCCATTGATTTCGAGTTACGACTTGTGTTTCGTGTGTTCTCAGAATATACAGGGTGGCGAAAAATTACGTGCGCCATAAAAAGCGTCCTAGCTTCATTTTTTTCCATAAAAATCCGAAGGAAATTAATTTTATAAAACAGCAAACTCTAACATTCAATAATTATAAAAAAGGTCGAAGTGGCCGCTGTCAGTTTTGATATAGATCTGAATTAGTTTCGACATCGAGTCGATGGTGCGGCGGAGCCGTCTGGTTTGACGAAAAAATTCTCCCATTAAGCAGCTAAAAACTCCTAAATCACCATCAACTTTTTTGCTCAACTCTTGGGAACATTTGTAATTGGAAAATACCTGCAAGAATTCCGTTCGCTGAAAGTTTGATGATTTGGAGCAGTATCAGTGCTTTGGGCAACCCTCCATTGATTTTTATCGATAAAATCATGGAAATCAATGCGAAGATATATCATGAAGAGGTCTTCAAGAAAGCTCTGGTGCTCTGGAAGCAGAGTCACAACAGTGTTGTCTTTCTTGTCTATGAACAAAAAATAAAGTCAGGATATTTTTCGTGGCGCGCGTAATTTTTCGCCACCCTGTATATGATGGCTGTTTAAGACGTTTTCCGCACAGTGCACGTGATACTCGCATACCCCGCTTAACTTGTCTGAGTGAAACACCGACGCATACAGGGAGTGACTTTTTACAAGTAAACCACTCTATGTGCGAAGAATTACGCCTTCTACGTCAGGGGAAGTTGTGATGCCTTAGCTGGAAGTCTTTCAGGACATGGAGCGCTTCATCAGAACAGTTTTTTTTTGCTTGCTTTAGAGACACGCTCAGGGAGCATAACTGAAAATTTTTTTCTGAGCTACTCTGAGGATGCTAAAAAACATGTCGAAGGCATTGCCTGTGGTTCCCCACTGAGGACAATTTTTGCATTTCTCTGATTTCCACTTTCTTGGGCTCATATATGTCTAAACTTATTCAGTGAACAAAAAGCTTCCAAAATGCAACTATTCAACTCTACAAATGCTGTAGAATTTATTAAAAATGGAAAAGTTTCACTTCTCAAGAAAAATTTTCTGCCCTTTTTCTGGCAATTCCAAGGCCGCTCAGAAAAAATGATCTCCAGCTTTTTGCTTGCGCGTGCCGATATAACATGCAACAAACTCTCCAAAGCGCTCCATGTCCTGAAAGACTTCCCTAGTAAGGGGAACTTGATGATGTTTTGATTTCTTTCTTTGTAAGCCGGTTAGCGACTATGTCAACTCATCTAGAAATTTTTCGAATCTTGAATCCTTTTGAGTCAATCTAGAGGATTTTTCTTTGGTGTGGAGATTTAAGACGAAGAAGGTCCAAAACTTCCCGCATTGAGTTAGAGTAATTCATCACGGGAACTTCTTGCATTCTTTACCAACATGAATGTGTCAGTCGTAACTACTAGAGAAAACACAAGTGTCACGCACGAAGGTTTGGTTTCTCAGGGAAATGAACTCAGGATAATTCTATG